CACAGACTGCTAACATTTAACCAGAGACACACACACACACACACACACACACACACACACACACACACACACACACACACACACACACACACAGACACACAACAAAACTTCATAGACCTCACACATAAAGACATCTTCAGACTTGTTCTCCATCTCACTGAGGGCACAGTGAGATGAAACGTCCTGCTAGAAAAGCTTTCATCCCTGATACGTGTGTGTTTATGATCGTGTGTCCTTGTGTAGAGTCTATTAAAAACCCAGAGAGGTCCTCTCTGGCAGACTGTTAGCAGAGTTGGATGGCTGACCTTCTCAGCAGCACCACAGAAAGTTTATGACCTCTGGGGAATCCCTTTCTTTTCAGTTCCGCCTTAATGATATGGGTCAGCTCCTTGCAGGGTGTCAGGTAGAACTCATCTCACACCTGAGCTGCAAATAAAAATGCCTTTGTTTCCCTATTTTTATGTTTTCTGTTACCCAAACTTTAAATTTAAACCCCCCTCGTTTGGCTGTTTTCCAAAAATAACATACTCTTTGTAAGAAGACATATTTCCTTTGAAGATGTTTCTAAAGTTCCTCCAGTACTTTGGATATTTCAGAGTGAGGTTATAACCAGTGATACTGTGTTTTAGATAATGTTATTTCCTCAGATTGAGAACATTAAGAAAGCTGCAACATATTGTGTTAGATGCAGAAAAAGCATTTCATAGAGCAAACTCAAAATTTTTATTTGCTACTCTACATAAACTAGGTTTTGGCAATTTCTTTAGAAATTGGTTAAAAAGCTCATACAGCTTACCAACAGCCTGTGTCAGGACAAATACCAAACATCTTCCAGCTTTTGTCTCCAGAGGGAGACTAGGCAGGGATGCCCACTCTCCCCCTCACTTTTTGCCATTTTTATTGAGCAACAATTAGACAAACTAATGCTGTTAAAGGTATAAAATGGATGAAAGTAGAGCATAACATGTGTCTTTATGCAGATGATGTATTACTTTATCTCCAGCATTCAAACACTTCCCTTTCTCAAGTAATTAGATTTCTAGAATATTTCACAAAAGTCTCAGATGACTCCATAAATTGGTCTAAATCTATAATACTACCAATTAATTTCTCTCTACAGAATCCCCTAGCTTTACAACTGCAATCAGGAAATATCAAATATTTTGGAAATACTGTGTGATCCAAATCACACAGTATTTCATCAAAATAATAATATGATTAACTTTCCATACTGGAGGAATAAAGGTATTACATATCTGGATCCTTTATTTAAAGGAACGGAGTTTATCACATTTGCTAGAGTAATTATGCAATATGGCATTAACAGAAAGAAATTCTTACAGCATGAACAAATTAAATCTATAATTAGAAACTAATTTAGGCATATTAATGGAGGTTTAAAAATTCCAACTACTATATTACAGTTCCTAGAGT